AGGAGAGGGGAAAGGAAAAGGGAAGAGGAAGGGGAGAGAAGGAGAGAGGAAGAGAAAAGGGAATAGGAAGGGGAGAGAACGAGAGAGGAAGAGAAAAGGGAAGAGGAAAGGGGAGAAGGAGAGGGGAAGGGAAAAGGGAAGAGGAAGGGGAGAGAAGGAGACAGAGAAAAAAAAGGGAAGAGGAAGGGAGAGAAGGAGAGAGGAAAGAGGAGGGGAGAAGGAGAGGGGAATGGAAAAAAGGGAGAGAGGAGAGGGGAAGGGAAAAGGGAAGAGGAATGGGAGAGAAAGGAGAAGGTAAAGAAGGGACGAGGAAGTGGAGAGAAGGAGAGAGAAGGGAAAAGGGAAGAGGAAGGGGAGAGAAGGAGAGAGGAAGGAAAGGGAAGAGGAAGGGAGAGAAGGAGAAAGAAAAGAAGAAAGAGAAAAGAAGAAAGGCAGGGCCAAAGGAGAAAGGAAGAGGAAAGGGGAAGCCCCGCCAGGCTGCGTGCGTGATCGCTGCCGCAGTCGTTCTCTCGCAACAAAAAAAATTGGATATTTTCAGCGACATATATCTCGTAACTTTCTTTCATCTGTCGTTATCATTATCTTTATCTCTATTATTACAATCATTACTTTCATCTTTCATTACCATCCGTCTTATTATTTTGTTTATATTATAATCATATTATTATTGTTAGTTATCCTTATAGATATCATAATTTCATTATTATCATTATTATTTATTATTATTATTATTCTATTATTTTATTATTCATTACTATTATGCAATATTTTATTATATCATCATCATCATTATTATAATTATTTTATTATTATATTATTTATTATCATATTATGCATTATTATTTATTAATATCATTATCATCATCATCATCATCATTATTATCACTATAATTATCATTATTGTTATTATCATCATTATTATCATTATCATTATTATTTTCTTGACCTGAGGCCAGGAATTTTCCAAGAATCGTGTCAATGTACTTTGGACCATCCTTCTTCACAAGCTCCAAAGGGCTTAAAACTGCAGATATTATAGTCGTTTTCAAGCTTTTTTTTTCAATTTTTTTTTTCGTATTCTTTCGGTCTCTGTTTACAAACAAGTCCTTATGTTTGGAAAGTTTATCGAATTCCTTTTGCTGATAAGGTCTTGCTTGTAGGGACCGGCGTGTCTCTTGGTCTTTCACTCTATCTAGACTGTTATTGTTATTGCTGTTATTGTCATCATCATTATCAGCATTAATATGATTGTTATTATCATTATCAGCATTAATATGATTGTTATTATCATTATCAGCATTAATATGCTTTGTTAATTATCATATATCAGCATTAATATCTTGTTTATTATCATTATCAGCATAATTGCTTGTTATTATCATTAAGCATTAATATGCTTGTTATTATCATTATCAGCATTAATATGCTTGTTATTATCATTATCAGCATTAATATGCTTGTATATATATCATTAATCGGCATTAATATGCTTGTTATTATCATTATCAGGCATTAATATGCTTGTTATTATCAATTATCAGCATTAATATGAATTGTTATTATCATTATCAGCATTTTAATATAATTGTGTTATTAATCATCATCAGCATTAATATGATTGAATTATACATCATCAGCAATTAATATGATTGTTATTATCATTATCAGCATTAATATGATTGTTATTATCATTATCAGCATTAATATGATTGTTATTATCATTATCAGCATTAATATGATTGTTATTATCATTATCATCAGCATCAGCATCTTTAGTATTATTATTGTGGTTGTTATTGATATTTTCATTATCATTATCTTTATTATTGTTATCGTTAATCACTTAATTATTATTGTTGTTATTATTGTAATTTTTATTATTGTTATTATCACTATTACTATTATATCTACCATTATCAATCCTATTAATATTATTATCAATTATAAATTATCATTGCTGATATTGTTGTTTTTCTTTCCCCTCCCTTCCCTCACTCTCTTTTCCCCTCCTTTCCCTCTCTCCTTTTTCCCTCCCCTTCCTTCCCTCACTCTCTCCCTCCCTCCCCCTCTTCCCCTCTCTCCCTCCTCTCTCTTTCCCCCTCCCTTTCCTTCCCTTCCCTCACTCTCTTTTTCCCCTTCCTTCCCACTCCCTCTCTTCCCCTCCTGTTCCTCACTCTCTTCCCCTCCTTTTCCTTCCTTCCTCACTGTCTTTCCCCTCCCTTTCCTTCCCTCCCTCTCTTTCCTTCCCTTCCCTCACTCCACTCTCTTTCACCTTTTCCCTACTCTCCCTTCCCCTCCTTTCCTCCCCCTGCACTCTCTTTTCCCTCTGCCCCTCCCTTTCCTTCACCTCTCCTCACTCTTTTTCCTCCCTTCCCTTCCCTTTCTTCCCTTCCTCACTCTCTTTTCCCTCCTTTCCTTCCTTCCCTCCTCCCTCCCCTCCCTTCCTTCCCTTCCCTCTCTCTCTTCCTTTCCTTCCTCACTCTCCCCCCCCCTCTTTCTTTCCCCTTCCCTTCCCTCCTTCCTCTGGTCTCTTCCCCAGGAGCTGGAGGAGCAGAACCGTCTGCTGGTCCGGCTGGGCAAGAGGCAGGAGGCGGCGCTGGGTGCGGTACCCGAGGACATGAGAGCGAACTCCGCACATCATAGAGGCTCACTGAAGATCGAGATCAACGTTTGCAGGAGAAGCTGAGGAGGGTGAGGGGAGAGAGAGAAGTGGAGATAAAGAAGAAAGAGAGAGAGAGAGAGGAGATAGAGAAGAAGAAAGAGAGAGAGGAGAGAGAGAAAGAGAGAGAGAGAGAGACACCAGAGAGAGAGAGAGAAGCGTGTGCGTGTGCGTCTGTATAGAGAAGAAGAGGAAGAAGAAGAAGAAGAAGAAGAAGAGAGAGAGAGAGAGAGAGAGAGAGAGAGAGAGAGAGAGAGAGAGAGAGAGAGAGAGAAGAGAGAGAGAGAAGGAGAGAGAGAGATGAGAGAGAGAAGAGAAAGAGAGAGAGGGGGGGGGGGGTGCGTGTGCGTCTGTATACATGTAGTAACGAATGAGAAAGAGAGAAAATGATAAAATGAGAAAATCGTGAGTAAGTGAACGTGGCGTCGCCGACCGTAGATTTTTTAAATGAAAGAGGGAAGGAGAGAGAGAAAGAAGGAGAGAGGAGAGAGAGGGAAGGAGAGAGAGAAAGAGGGGAAGGAGAGAAGAGAAGAGAGGAAGGAAAGAGAGAAAGAGGAGGAAAGAGAGAGAGAAAGAGGGAAGGAGAGAGAGAAAGAGGGAAGGGAGAGAGAGAAAGACGGAAGAGAGAGAGAAGGAGAGAGAAAGAGGGAAGGAGAGAGAGAAAAGGGAAGGAGAGAGAGAAAGAGGGAGGAGAGAGAGAAAGAGGGAGGGAGAGAGGAGAAGGAGAGGAGGGAAGGAGAGAGAAAAGAGGAAGGAGAGAGAGAGAGAGGGGGAAGGAGAGAGAGAGAGGGAAGGAGAGAGAGAAAGGGGAAGGAGAGAAGAGGAAAGAGGGAAGGAGAGAGAGAGAGAGAGAGAAGGAGAGAGAGAGAAGAGGGGAAAGAGAGAAGAGAAAGAGGGAAGGAGAGAGAGAAAAGAGGGAAGGAGAGAGAGAAAGAGGGAAGGAGAGAGAGAGGGAAGGAAAGAGAGAAAGAGGGAAGGAAGAGAGAAAGAGGGAAGAAGGAGAGAAAGAGGGAAGGAGAGAAGAGAAGAAAGAGGAAGAGAGAGAGAAAAGAGGAAGAGGAGAGAGAGAAAAGAGGAAAGGAAGAGAGAGAAAGAGGGAAGGAGAGAGAGAGAAAGAGGGAAGGAGAGAGAGAAAGAAGGAAGGAGAGAGAGAGAGAAGGAAGGAGAGAGAGAGAGAGAGAGAGAGAAGAGGGAAGAGAGAACGAAGAAAAGAGAGAAAGAGGGAAGGAGAGAGAGAAAGAAAGAGAAAGAGAAGAAAGAGGAAAGAGGAAGAGAGAAGAGGGAAGGAGAGAGAGAAGAAGGAAGGAAAGAGAGAAAGAGGAAGGAGAGAGAAAAGGGAAGGAGAGAGAGAGAAGGAAGAGAGAGAAAGAGGAAAGAGAGAGAAGAGAGGGAAGGAGAGAGAGAAGAGAGAGAGAGAGAAAGAGAGAGAGAGAGAGAGAGAGAGAGAGAGAAGAGAAGGAGAGAGAGAGAGAGAGAAAGAAGGAAGGAAGAGAAAAGAGGGAAGGAGAAAGAGAAAGAGGGAAGGAGAGATGTTTTCGATATTCGGAGAAAATGAGCAACGTTGTCTGCGTGGAAATCGTAAACAAGAGACACATTCCTTTTGGGAACAAAAGGAATTGCGTGTGTAATTACTCTTTTATTAGCTTCACTTGCGTCTTGTGTGTGTGTGTGTGTGTGTGTGTGTGTGTGTGTGTGTGTGTGTGTGTGTGTGTGTGTGTGTGTGTGTGTGTGTGTGTGTGTGTGTGTGTGTGTGTGTGTGTGTGTGTGTGTGTGTGTGTGGTGTGTGTGTGTGTGTGTGTGTGTGTGTGTGTGTGTGTGTGTGTGTGTGTGTGTGTGTGTGTGTGTGTGTGTGTGTGTGTGTGTGTGTGTGTGTGTGTGTGTGTGTGTGTGTGTGTGTGTGTGTGTGTGTGTGTGTGTGTGTGGTGTGTGTGTGTGTGTGTGTGTGTGTGTGTGTGTGTGTGTCCATGTTTGTATGTTTTGTCCACTTGACCTGTTACGCACAAAAACACACTTTCCTGCGTGAATAAAGAAATATTGAAAAAAGATGAAAATGGGAGAGAACAAGAGTAAGAAATTTAGAGAAAGAAAGAGAAACGGAGAGAAAGAGAACCAAAGACAGACACAAAGAAACAGCCAGAGATAAAAGACACCGCATAAAGAAAAAAAAAATAATGATAATCACATTCTTAGAGTTCCCTCTTCTCACCCCCCCCCCTCCTACTCCGATGAAGTTTCAAAAATAGACTTAATTTTTTTACTTCCTTTTCATTATGTATATTTCTTCTTCGACAACTAAGAACTCTTTTTCAAAATATATAATGAAAAATGAATAAATGAATAATAAATAATAAATGATAAATAAATAAATAATAAATAAATAAATAATAGATAATAGATAATAAACAATAAATAAATAAATAATGAAATAGATAATAAATAATAAAAAAATAATAATAATAAATAATAAATAAATAAATAATAAATAATAATAAATAAATAATTAATAAATAAATAATAAATAATAAATAAATAATAATCATAAATAATGAATCTTATATCATGCTTTTACCTTCGAGAATCCTCATACCAATTCACCATTAGTCAGCCTCACCCAACCCCGGTACTGACACCCCCCCCCCCCGCCCCCCTTCCAGTCCACGGAGCTGAACCGGCGCAACGCGGAGAAGCTGAAACAGACGGACGCGCGCATTCTGAAGCTGACGGAGGAGCTGACGCGGCTGCGAGAGCTCAGCCGGAAGCGCCACCTGCCCGAGAGGGAGCTGCTCAACAAGAAGCTGAGCGCCGCCACCCACACGCTCGAGGAGAAGGAGAAGGAGAATGAGGTGAGGGGCAGGGGGAGGAGGGCAGGGAAGGGGAGGAGGGTAAGGAAGGGGAGGAGGGTAAAGGAAGGGGAGGAGGGTAAGGGAAGGGAAAGAGAAGGGGAGGGGGGGAAGGGGGAGGGAGGGGAGGAAGGGGAGGAGGGCAAGGGAAGGGAAAGAGAAGGGGCGGAGGGCATGGAAGTGGAGGGGGTAAGGGAAGGGGAAGTGGAGGGGGCAGGGAGGAGGGCAAAGGAAGGAGATAGAGAATGAGGTGAGGGCAAGGGAAAGGGGAAGGGGAGGGGTTAAGGAGGAGAGGGCATAGGAAGGGGAAGGGAGGTGAGGGGTAGGGAAGATGCAAGTGCGGAAGAAGCATGAGTTATGGGATCTTGTGTCTCAAGCATATAGCTTTGAATGTCTTCCATAGTTTCTGCAGTCAGGTACGGAAAGGGACTCTGCCTTCATGTTTTTGGAGATATTGTTGAAGAAGAGGTGTTGCCTGAGTAAGGAGCTGTAGAAGGGATCACGAAAAATCGGTTCCATTTAGCTGGGCTAAATAGAGTAGTTAAGATATTTATAGGGTTGGTGGTGGTGGATGGTCAGGGACGTGTGAAAGAGGGAGTATTACGTAGCGATGGAGAATAAGGCTGTAAGGTAGTAATAAGGGAGGATAGGGTGCTTGATGAAGGTTGTGGGGGTAGAGTTAATGAATTTGAGGAAGTTGAGAGGGTAGGAATGTCTTCTGGAGATTGAGTCTCTGCTTGGGTGGGTAATGCACTAGTAGTCATTAAGGAATGGATAGCAGTTTCAGTGTTCGGAGTCGTGGTCAAAGGAGAGCCTGGGGTCGGGGCTATTTGATAAAGGGGCAAGCCTCATTGCCCCTAATAAGGGGATTACATCTTCATTACTGGTCATGGGGAACCTTGATTATATAAAGCGCATAAACGGTCCACCCCCCCACCCCAGTGCCCTGTAGGGGGTAAGGGCTAGACAATTAAATCAGGGGAGTACCGTGCCCATGGTTCCCGCAGGCCATTCAGGACTGGCACAAGGTCAGCCTTTCATCCTTTCAGCACGGCTCTCACACCTTAGGAAGTAGATAGTAGAAGGGATTGGAGAAGGGACGGAAACAAAAGCTGGAGGGGGGAAAGACCATGCAAAATTAGTTGGGTCGAGGGCTGAGGCCCTAGGCAGGGGAGATCCCTGCATTGGGTCTCAGTCTCCGTCTCCTAAGCCCCCACGACAACGGGCAAGGGATTGGGGGGGGGGGAAGGGAGAAAGAAAGGCAAAAAAAATCAAACGAAAAAGAAGCAACAAGAAGGAGATTACGAAAATAAACGGGATGAAGTGGAAATCGCCCCGTTCCAGGAGCCACATGGAGGAGCGAGGACATGGGGCTAAGGCGAAGGAAGCTCAGAGGGGTGATGATGACCAAGAAAGGAAGAGGGGAAAGTCAAAGAGAAATAAAGGGGAATATATATTTTTTGGAAATAAAAACTAACTTCGTTTTATCATTTCTAGTCTCATTTCTTTGTCCATTTTTTTGTCTTTCCCTCCTTTTATTTCTATCTTTCTTTCCTAATCCGCCCCACCTTTTCCCTCAAGTCCCTCCCTTCCTCCACCTGCCGACCATTCAACTCATTTCGACACCCTCACCTGCAGGAGCTACGGCGGCGCCTGGGGGTGCTGGAGAAGGCCCTGAAGCAGCAGGTGCAGGCGGAGGTGGGGCGCCACCGGGCGACGGCCAAGAAACTCTACAGCCTTCAGCTCGAACACCACAAGCTGGAGGAGCAGCTCAAGGTGGGCAACCTCTCTCCCTCCCCTTTCACGGCGAAATGGTCGCTCGCTTTCCCTGACTCTTCAGTCTCTCGTCTTCAATATTTGCTCGTGCAGTCCCGCCCAAAGGCCCTATCGCACTTTCTCCGTCAATTTTTGCCTTCCCGTGTGAATGAGGGTCTGCAAGTATTCATGCAAACAGGACACCTCCCAGAAGACGTCGCGACCGTTTCCGTCTGACTAATTTCCGTTTTGATCTTGTGCTGCGGAGTTTCTGTTCAACTAGAATGTTTTTCTGTTGATAAATCAGATAGAAAAATATAATGTAAACCAAAGTTAATATCCTAGAATATTTCTGTATACAATATCCATCGTTATATCTCTTTAAAGTAATGTGTTATGTACAAGAATGAGCGTGATTCCCAGGACCTCATTCGGATGGCGCCATATTTGTTCACGAGGTTTTCTGCTATGGGAGTGCCACTGGGTCGCTCTATTTGCATAAGAAAAGTACATATGGAAACGCAAAAAATAAGAAAAAAAGTGCTAGTGTCATAGAGTCTTAAGGTTCAGGGATTCACGAATTCTTACCAACAATAATCATCAAACACCTTTAACGTGCTCTTCTCCTCCCCTCCCTCTCCTCATACCCTTCCCCCCTTTCTCTCCTCTCCCTCTCCTTCCTCTCCCCTCCGTCTCCTCATACCCTTTCCCCTTTCTCTCCTCCCCTCCCTCCTTCCTCATACCCTTTCCCTTTCTTTTCTGTTCTCCCCGCTTCTCCTTCCCTCTCCCCATACCCTTTCCCCCTTTCTCTCCCTCTCCCTCCCTTCCCTCTCCTGCTCCTCATACCCTTTCCCCTTTCTCTCCCTCTCCCTCCCCTCCCTCTCCTCTGTTCCTCCCCGCTTCTCCCTTCCCCTCCCGTCCCCCGCAGGAGAAGGAGCGCGACCTGGCCGCCCTGCAGCACTACAGCCGCAACAGCAGATGCGGCCGGAGCAGCACCGCCTGCGACGACAGCACCACCTCCACGACGGCCGACTCGTCCCGCTCGCCGTCGCTGTCGGCGCGTCGGAAGTCGGGCTCCCGCCAGCGCAGCAGCGGCGCCTCGTCCGTCGCCACGTCCACGTCGGGCATCGCGTCGGCGGGCGACGTGGGGATCTCGGCCAGCGACTCGCGGGGATCGCTGGCCCTCGACGCGTAAGTGGGGCGGGGGCGAGTGGGGATGGGGCGGAACGGGAGTCGGAGCTGCTGTGAGGTGAGTGTGTGTGAGTGTGTGTGTGTGTGTGTGTGTGTGTGGTGTGTGTGTGTGTGTGTGTGTGTGTGTGTGTGTGTGTGTGTGTGTGTGTGTGTGTGAGTGTGAGTGTGAGTGTTGAGTGCGAGTGTGTGAGTGAGTGTGAGTGTTGAGTGTGTGTGAGTGTGAGTGTGAGTGTGAGTGTGAGTGTGAGTGTGCTGTGTGTGTGTGTGTGTGTGTGTGTGTGTGTGTGTGTGTGGTGAGTGTGAGTGTGAGTGTGAGTGTGAGTGTGAGTGTGAGTGAGTGTGAGTGAGTGAGTGAGTGAGTGTGTGTTGTGCGCGTGCGTGTGTATAAGTGTGCGTGTACGTGCGGGCGTGGGTTCGTTCGTGCTCTTGGACGCGAAACGAAATGAGGGAACTTGAATAGATTAATCAACACAAACAGAATCAAGCCAAAGTGCCCCTCACTTCCTCCGATTCCGCAGGAGCAGCAGTCGGCTTCCTCCCATCAGCGCGGAGTCCCGACGGAGGAAGGAGTCGTCGGGAGCGTCTCCGAGCGCGCCTCTCACCTCCCCGGAGCCGCCGCCTGACGTCCCCACCAGGAGAACGCGACACAGGGCCCTCCCTAAGGTAAGTCCTGCCCCGAGGTCCAAGTCACGGGCCGAAGAATCGGATGCGTCGTGTTCACAGTAGGAAGGCATTTTCATTGTTTTATCGTTTTTTTCATCTTCTTTATCCGACTTTTTAAATCCTTTGAAATCTTTTTAATCCAAGAAAGTAACTGTCAGTCGGTGTTTTCTTTCCTTTGTTCATGAATGTTTGTATGTTCCCAGTTCGATCCGAACGCTGGTCAGTCCACTCGGAGACATGCTGTTTCCAGTAGCATTTTTTATCTGGTGAGACAGTGAAACTAAGCAAAAGCATAAGAGAAAAAAAATGGGAATTTCAAACCAAATTAAGACTGAGAGAGAGAGAGATTGTTCTAAACGAAGCCCACAACTGCCTCCCGTGCCTCCTGTTGGTAGGGTCGCCCCGGCGCTCGTCGACGTAGCGCCTCGACCTCCCCCACCGACACCTACCCACAGCTCTCCCGCCTCCCACAACAGCTCATTGATGTGCTCGATCTGCCCATCGACTGAAATCACGGCAAGTCCCTCCCTTTCTCCCTCTCCTCCTTCCCTCGCCCCGTAATTGTCTTCTGTTATTTTCAGCCTCACTGCCATTCCCCGCCACGCACGCTCCTCGCCGCTTGTAGACCCAACCACAACGAAGACGTGGAGGCACTTTTGTTGTATCCATCGCTTCTTTCTTTGTTTAGTCAAGTTTGTAGATCCTCCTAGGGTTTTCTTTAGTATTTAGGTATCTTTTTAAGTAACGACAAAGCCCGTTTTCGCCTTTTACTGGAACGGATAAAACGATTAAGTCCCGTGTATCTTTCTGCTCCGCCTCCGTGTATGTCTTCTTCTTGTTTATGTATTTTTATTCATTCATTCATTCGTTAATAAGCGTGTGGTTCCTTGCCTGTTTATATATACTGTACAGTGAATATGACTACAGAAAAAAAGGCAAGAGGGAAGCAAAATTCGAAAGCATGAGGGAAGAAAAGGGCAAAAGTCACGGGGTTGCAGCTGACAGAACCGAGAGCCTAAAGAGGGAAGACTCCAAGTCACGCTGTTGGTGTTCGGGGCGCTTCGCTCGCGCCACAAGCCCACCACATAGCTGCTGCTTGAGCCGACGTGTACGCAGAGGCACCGACTGATCTTTAGGGAATACCCGATGCCTTTGTCCAAAAGGTGTGAATGAGAATAAATTTCTTCTTAGGCATCAGATGTATTGCGAAATATATCTTTGTCTGAAATACATTCCTGACAAAGATATAATCGACATCGGGCCAATACAAGTTATTCTCACCATGCCGTTTCTTCATCTGTTGCGATGACCACCGCTCAGAACATGCCTAATTTTATTTTGTTCTCGCCTTGTCTAGATCCTTGCTACGCCTTTCTGGAAAAAATTAAGACCTTTCCTAACTAGTGTCCCTCCGCCGCGCGGGGCTGCCCCCGGCCCCACGCCAGCATCCACGCGAGCGCTAATGAGTCCCTCTGTCCTGCAGGAGAGCGCGGAGGAGCGGCGCGCGGGGCGCATCCGGCGAGGCGGCGTTCCCCCCGACCTTCGACCGACGACGACGACCTGCAGACGCCCCGTTGCACGCCCACGCCCAGCCCGCACACCACACCCGAGCCCCCGAGCCAGGGCGAAGGCAGTGCCACGGAGCTGCAGCAGGGGGAGGGGGGCGGGGAGGGGCGGCCGTGGCACAGCGACCACAAACGCCGCCAACGGCTGGCTGCTTCCCTTCGCGACGCGCGCCGCCAGGAGAGCGCCGACGCCGCCGCCGACGCTGCCGAGGAGCGCGAGCGACAGGGGTCGTCCGCAGGGTCGTCGGCAGGGAGCAGCGGCAGGGAGGGGGGCTCGGCGGGGGCGAGGGGGGAGTTCTCCCTGATCGAGCACTACCCGCCGAGGGAGCGCCTCACCCTGAGCGGCTCCGACAGCGGCGGCAGCGGCAGCACGCCTCCTCCGACAGCTCCCCCGAGGGCTCCTCCGAGGGCGCCGACCGTGCTGGCCGAGGCGAAGGCGCCGGCGCAGCGCACCCGCCTCGACTCCCCTCTGGCGGGCAGCGCCGTCGGCCGTCGCCACCACACCATCACGGCCCACGACCTGCGCACCGTGTCCAGCCTCTCCAGGCTGGACTCGGCCAACCCGGCGGTGCCAAAGCGGGGCGCCATCACGCCCTAAGTGCGCGGCGCACGAGGCTGCGGCGCCGCAGGCCCAGTAGCCTCCTCCTCACGTCCTTCTTTCGAAGCCGGTGTACATATCCTGTGGAATGTCCTGTCACTGCGATGGCCAGGCCCTTGGCCACGGAGGCCAAACTTGTTTGTGAAATAAAACGAACTGCTTTTTGGCAGTGCAAGTAACTTAGAGGGCAAGGTATAGCAATACTTGTTCTAGTCTGATTTTTGCACAAATGTTCCCGGCATATTTATGAGGATCTTCGAATATAAAGTTAAAACATACATAACACTATTTTTTTCGATTTCTTTTTGAGACGAGTCACTGTTCCTCCTTCTTCGCATTAAAAGGAGGAGTCAGAGAAAATGAAATCACGAGCGGCTGAACGAAAAGACGTGACTTCCGCACTCCGTCCATCATTCGGGAAGACGGGAACACCTTGTAAATCACACTTTAAAAATTAAAAAGATATCCTATTAGAATAAACAGGAAGTTGTCCGAAGTAACAGTCTTTCCCGTTCTAGAAAGTTTAGAATTGGGTTTCTCTAATTCTAGCTTATAACCCTGGAGGTCCCCACCCGCCTTGCTTCTGCTCTGAATTGGAAAAATCTAATTTAGTAGAAGCTTACTGACCCGTCGGCGTTTTCGGCCGAAACCAAGTGTTGAGACAATTGCAATAAATCCTTTACAAGTTGTGTTTGTTTGTTTATTTACCAAATAACATAATTACAGAGTTGATAAGGAAGGAAACAATAAAAATGAAGTAACAAAGAACTCAATCATTACATGGTTGAGCTACTTACCTCAACGTATCATTGTAATAAAACCAAATTGCAAATCCAAGGTTGGCACAAAGGGGAAAGGAGGTAAATATGACAATCAAAAATATATCGTTCAGAAAAAATATTATTTATTATGAAATAAACTGCCGTCATACACAAATGTTTCTTACAAAAATCGACGATTTTTCCTAGTTTCCAGTCCATTAAACTGTATTCCCAGAAACGCCACAGGATTATGCATTAGACTTTAAACTCAATTGGAATTCCTTTTCATTCTTTTTTTTTTTACTTTCTCTCGTCCATTCAACTTTGTAGAAAGTAATAACTAAAAAATTCTCATTGCGAGACTCAAGATTCCCCAAAAGAAGAAAACACAAATATGGTACATTCTGAACTGGCTGCAATTGGGCTCGCAATTGCATTCTTGAAAGATGGTGGGGCTATAAAGCAGAG